TAAAAAAAAAGTTCCGATGATCGCGTGGCACAGCTGATTATTGTATTGCTGATCATCAGAGCATTTTTTAAAAACTTTTTAAAGCATTTTTTAACTACTGGTTTGCCTGAACCGGTAGTAAAAAAATGCTACCGGTTCGCCCGAACTGGGAATTTAAAAATGCTAAAAAAAAAAAAAAAATGCTAAAAAAAAAGTTCCGATGATCGCGTGGCACAGCTGATTATTGTATTGCTGATCATCAGAGCATTTTTTAAAAACTTTTTAAAGCATTTTTTAACTACTGGTTTGCCTGAACCGGTAGTAAAAAAAAAGTCCCAATAATCAGCTGTGCAACAATCAGCTGTGCTGCACGATTTATATTTGCTAGAAAGCCGGAAATCCTGCTTTCTAATGAATCTAAATTGCACAGCACAGTTCTCTCTCCTCCTCCCCCCCGCTGTTCTACTTACCTTTGCAAACTCAGAAAAGGCTTCTTGGCACCTGCGTTGCACAGGCATACATGGATCAAACTGGTAGCAGGCTTCAAGGCATTTCACCCCTGCCTCCATCCCACACAAAATTCACTGGAGGGGACTTGAAGCCCCCACTCTACTTAAAGGCTCTGGATGGGCATAAGCCATGGGAAACAGGCGTCTGTTGAAGGGCTTTATGGGTGACCATCAGCGCCTTGAATTGTGCCTGGAAGCCAATGACAGCGACTGCAGCTAATGGAGGAGGGATAACATATGGCCATTATATGCTTGCATTGCTGAATTTTGGACCCCAAAATAAATATTGAGAGCAAGAAAGTTGGGAGAGTTCCTGGTGTCTTCAATTCCTCAAGTGTGGTCCACTCTCAGATTGCCACCAGATATAGTATTGATAAAGACAAATATCTTCACATTTCCCATCCCAGCCTTATTTCTTCTGTCTCATCACCATACATCCATACCTCCTACTACCCAATTCTACTTGCAGCCTTTGAATTACGATCCAATCCATTTTATTTCACCCCCTCTTTGTTCCTGTTAATATAATATAAAAGGGACATTATTTATATTGACATTATTTGTCTCATTTTACAAAAGATGATTCAATTATCAACATGTTATGATAATCACCGTTTGATGCGTGTCGGCGTAAAGAATTTAGGGGTGTGAAGATGATAGCTAAGCATCACAAGTTGTAAACGTTTAAACATATGAAAGATGATTAGGGGACTGGAGGTTAAAACATATGAATAACGGTTGCAGGAACTGGGTATGTCTAGTTTGATGAAAAGAAGGACTAGGGGAGACATGATAGCAGTCTTCCAATATTTCAGGAGCTGCCACAAAGAAGAGGGAGTCAAGCTATTCTCCAAAGCTCCCAAGGCAATGGGTGGAAAGGTGGAAACTAATCAAGGAGAGAAGAAAGGAGAAATTTCATGACAGTTAGAACAATTAATCGGTGGAACAAATTGCCTCCAGACGTTGTGGATGCTCCAACACTGGAAGTTTTTAAGAAGATGTTGGATATCCATTTGTCTGTAATGGTATAGGGTTTCCTGCCTAAGCAGGGGGTTGGACTAGAAAACCTCCAAGGTCCCTTCCAACTCTGTTATTCTATTCTATTCAACCCCGGCAGTTACGTATAAATGGAGAATGAACGGAATCTATTTTATGTTGCTTGCTACGTAAAAGCACTTTGCAATGATTCATCCAAAATTCATAACAAAAAAATAAAAATCAAACCCTGAATAAGTAGATAGGTCCCTTTGACTTTATGAGTGATGGGAGGATGGAGTTATCTGCTCTTCCAAAGTATCCTTTCAATCCATCATCTTCACAATTGTAAAGGCATTCCATCAGTGCCTACTGTGATAGATTTATCATCACACACAGAGACCGAAATCTTCAGGAATCCAAATGCTGATGGATGATCAAAGTGAACCGTGGTTATGCAAATGCCCTAAACATGCTTTTAACTGCCTGAAACTGTCTTAAATTGAAACCTGGCAAAAGGTACAGTGTGGGAACTCCAAAAACACGTGGTTTTTGGAAAAAAAAACTGTCTCCAAAGTCCTTGCCTTTCTGCGTAACAGTGTTATATACTTACATGATTTGTAAGGTTCACTTGAATGCTCATTTTTATTTTTGGTTTTAATTGTGTTGGAGTTTTGCTGTCTGTTGCATGCCTTGAAAATGCTCTTGGCGGCATACCTGTTTAGACTTCTTTAATCTAATGGAGAACTGGCAAATCCTTCGACTGTTTTTCTTGTGCTGTCAAAGTGGAGGGGAAAAAAAATATTGGATGGTTAATTTATTCTTAGTCCAGTCCTCAGCTACTGACGAATTTCCAAATACACTTAGACAATAGCGCTATTCTCTTTTTCTTTTCTCTCTTGTGGCACAATGGCAATCTACGGTATTGCTGACAAAATAGAGTAAGGTCTGGAAGGGATTTTGGAGGTCATCCAGTCCAACCTATTGCCCAATACAAGCATCCATTTTCACAATAAATGCAATTTGCTGTTTTAAACGCTTCCAGAAAAGAAGAGTCCACAACCTCTGCATATTGGGTTCAAATAAGAAGATTCAGATTCTTTATTTTTGAAGGCTGCCTTCATAATACCTAGTTTCACAAACAATGGAGATATGTAAACCTTTCATATACAGCTACTGAAATAGAACGTAACATTCAAGGTGTCATAAGGGGTAGCAAAAATAGTGCATTTTCTTTCAGATCTCTTTGCTTTTAAATATATTTAAATATGAGGCACAAAGAAGTTTCTGCCTCAGAGTCCTTTGTGCTTTCTAAGCTTGGTTGTTTTCTTGAAGATGTTTCATTTCCAAACTTGGTGACAGCATCAGTGCTGGTAAGGGATGAGGTTTGCTCTCAGTTTATATTCTGGTAGCTTGCCCTTTCAATGTTGGTGGGAATGATGTTGGAGATTTTTTGGTTGAGCTGTTGCTGTTAGCTTCTTTGGCTGTTACTTGATCGGGGTATTGTTTACTACGTGATTGAAGCTCTGATGTTAATCTTAATGTTAATCAACAATTAAGAAGTAAAGTATACCCCAATCAAGGAACTGATTAAATAAAAAATGTCCAACATGATAAAGAGTCTTCACCCAAGTCTTGGTGAAGATCCAAGTTTTCACGGCTCTTCTAAACAACAGGAGCATGGAGGGTGGAATCCAAATCTCAGGGGAAACCTAGTTCCATAGAACAGGTGCTGCTATGAAGGAGGTCTCCTTCCAGGATCCTAAAAGATAACATTGTTTAATTGAAGGAAGCCAGAATTCACCAACTGTACAGGATCAAGTTGGTTGGCCGAAGTTATTGGAGACAAGAGGTCCCTCAACTAATCAAATTTAGGAGATGAACAGACTGAGCCTGAAGTGTGTCAAATTCATCACCAGTCTTGAGTCCCCTTGCGCCCACGAGAGATCTAAAGTCCAGTCCACCTTGAATTCCGTTGATTCTTGTGTGCCACCTATTTCCTTTGACCATTAGTAGGTCAGATTCTTCAAGAGAGCATTAGCATGTAATAAATCAGTAGTCATTTGAACCACCTGATTTCTTGCGCCTGACAGTAAACCCACTAAGTCAGGAGTGTCAAACTGAAGGCTCTTGGGTGCTTAGATCTGGCGTACGGAACCACCCTGAAAAGCAGAGGACTGGTCCGTGGGCCTCTGCCAGTGAAAAAAGAGCTCCGGAGGGCCATCTGCGGCGGGACTCGAACTCCATTTTCGCTGGCAGAGGGCTAGTTATACAAACTAAAAACAAAACAAAATGAGAAATGTTTCCCCTTTTGCATTTGAGCATTCAAGATGGGACAGGAAAGAAGAAAGAGAAAGAGGAAAGGCAAAGAAAATGAAGGAACGATGGGAAGAGAGCAAGGAAGGAAAAATAAGGAAAGAGGGGAAGGAAGAAGAAAGAATGAAGAGGGAAGGAAAGAAGGAAGGAAGGAAGGAAGGAGATTATAATGAGAATGAGGGAGGGACTGAAGGAAGTCCAGCCTTAGCACTTGGCCAACACAGTTGCCCCCAACATGAGTGACGTCAAGCTGGCCATTCCTATCCCGGCCCCCCGAGGTGAAACGCAAGCCCCACCCGAATGTTGAATGAAAGTTGTGTTTTATTGTTTTATTTTTTATTTATGCACTGTCTTATGTTTTTGTTTTGCACCCCCCTTCCCATGTATTGTAAGCCGCCCTG